AACACTTGCAAATAAAACCCATTCAAGGTCATACAAACCCACCCAAGGTCACACAAACCCACCCAAGGCCACACAAACCTACCCAGGGAGATCCTACTAGTTTTTACTGTGCTGAGCTTCTCATACATGGAAAAACCTGGTGAGATACATATACAAGAATACAGAAAGTCACAGGGACAAATACACCAATAAACCGTGGGTAGGAATAGCAAGTACCCAAGTACCCATGTACCACATGTACCATGGGTTACAGGTACAGCAAGTTACACATGTACCACATGTACCACATGTACCACATGTACCACATGTACCATGGGTTACAGGTACAGCAAGTTACACATGTACCATGGGTTACAGGTACAGCATGTACCACATGTACCATGGGTTACAGGTACAGCAAGTTACACAAGTACTAGGGTTACAGGTACAGCAAGTTACACAAGTACTAGGGTTACAGGTACAGCAAGTTACACATGTACCATAGGTTACAGGTACAGCAAGATACACATGTACTATTGGTTACAGGTACAGCAAGTTACACATGTACCATTGGTTACAGGTACAGCAAGTTACACAAGTACTAGGGTTACAGGTACAGCAAGTTACACAAGTACTAGGGTTACAGGTACAGTAAGTTACACATGTACCATTTGTTACAGGTACAGCAAGTTACACATGTACCATGGGTTACAGGTACAGCAAGTTACACATGTACCATGGGTTACAGGTACAGCAAGTTACACATGTACCATGGGTTACAGGTACAGCAAGTTACACATGTACCATGGGTTACAGGTACAGCAAGTTACACATGTACCATGGGTTACAGGTACAGCAAGTTACACATGTACCATGGGTTACAGGTACAGCAAGTTACACATGTACCATGGGTTACAGGTACAGCAAGTTACACATGTACCATGGGTTACAGGTACAGCAAGTTACACATGTACCATGGGTTACAGGTACAGCAAGTTACACATGTACCATGGGTTACAGGTACAGCAAGTTACACATGTACCATGGGTTACAGGTACAGCAAGTTACACATGTACCATGGGTTACAGGTACAGCAAGTTACACATGTACCATGGGTTACAGGTACAGCAAGTTACACATGTACCATGGGTTACAGGTACAGCAAGTTACACATGTACCATGGGTTACAGGTACAGCAAGTTACACATGTACCATGGGTTACAGGTACAGCAAGTTACACATGTACCATGGGTTACAGGTACAGCAAGTTACACATGTACCATGGGTTACAGGTACAGCAAGTTACACATGTACCATGGGTTACAGGTACAGCAAGTTACACATGTACCATGGGTTACAGGTACAGCAAGTTACACATGTACCATGGGTTACAGGTACAGCAAGTTACACATGTACCATGGGTTACAGGTACAGCAAGTTACACATGTACCATGGGTTACAGGTACAGCAAGTTACACATGTACCATGGGTTACAGGTACAGCAAGTTACACATGTACCATGGGTTACAGGTACAGCAAGTTACACATGTACCATGGGTTACAGGTACAGCAAGTTACACATGTACCATGGGTTACAGGTACAGCAAGTTACACATGTACCATGGGTTACAGGTACAGCAAGTTACACATGTACCATGGGTTACAGGTACAGCAAGTTACACATGTACCATGGGTTACAGGTACAGCAAGTTACACATGTACTAGGGTTACAGGTAGAGCAAGTTACACATGTACCATGGCTTACATGTACAGCAAGTTACACATGTACCATGGGTTACAGGTACAGCAAGTTACACATGTACCATGGGTTACAGGTACAGCAAGATACACATGCACTAGGGTTACAGGTACAGCAAGTTACACATGTTCCATGGGTTACAGGTACAGCAAGTTACACATGTACCAGGGTTACAGGTACAGCAAGTTACACATGTACCTTGGGTTACAGGTACAGCAAGTTACACATGTACCATTGGTTACAGGTACAGCAAGTTACACAAGTACCATGGGTTACAGGTACAGCAAGTTACACAAGTACCATGGGTTACAGGTACAGCAAGTTATACATGTACTAGGGTTACAGGTACAGCATGTTACACATGTACCATGGGTTACAGGTACAGCAAGATACGCATGCACTAGGGTTACAGGTACAGCAAGTTACACATGTACTAGGGTTACATACAGCAAGTTACACATGTACTAGGGTTACAGGTACAGCATGTTACACATGTACCATGGGTTACAGGTACAGCAATTTACACATGTACTAGGGTTACAGGTAGAGCAAGTTACACATGAACCATGGCTTACATGTACAGCAAGTTACACATGTTCCATGGGTTACAGGTACAGCAAGTTATACATGTACTAGGGTTACAGGTACAGCATGTTACACATGTACCATGGGTTACAGGTACAGCAAGGTACACATGTACCATGGGTTACAGGTACAGCAAGGTACACATGTACCATGGGTTACAGGTACAGCAAGGTACACATGTACCATGGGTTACAGGTACAGCAAGGTACACATGTACCATGGGTTACAGGTACAGCAAGTTACCCATGTACCATGGGTTACAGGTACAGCAAGTTACACAAGTACCATGGGTTACAGGTACAGCAAGTTATACATGTGCCATGGGTTACAGGTACAGCAAGTTACACAAGTACTAGGGTTACAGGTACAGCAAGTTACACATGCACCATGGGTTACAGGTACAGCAAGTTACACATGTACTAGGGTTACATACAGCAAGTTACACATGTACTAGGGTTACAGGTAGAGCAAGTTACACATGTACCATGGCTTACATGTACAGCAAGTTACACATGTTCCATGGGTTACAGGTACAGCAAGATACACATGCACTAGGGTTACAGGTACAGCAAGTTACACATGTTCCATGGGTTACAGGTACAGCAAGTTATACATGTACCATGGGTTACAGGTACAGCAAGTTAAACATGTATTAGGGTTACAGGTACAGCAAGTTACACATGTACTAGGGTTACAGGTACAGCAAGTTACACATGTTCCATGGGTTACAGGTACAGCAAGTTACACATGTACTAGGGTTACATACAGCAAGTTACACATGTACTAGGGTTACAGGTACAGGAAGTTACACATGTACCATGGGTTACAGGTACAGCAAGATACACATGTACTAGGGTTACAGGTACAGCAAGTTACACATGTACTAGGGTTACAGGTAGAGCAAGTTACACATGAACCATGGCTTACATGTACAGCAAGTTACACATGTTCCATGGGTTACAGGTACAGCAAGTTACACATGTTCCATGGGTTACAGGTACAGCAAGTTACACATGTACTAGGGTTACAGGTACAGCAAGATACACATGTACTAGGGTTACAGGTACAGCAAGTTACCCATGTACCATGGGTTACAGGTACAGCAAGTTACCCATGTACCATGGGTTACAGGTACAGCAAGTTACCCATGTACCATGGGTTACAGGTACAGCAAGTTACACAAGTACCATGGGTTACAGGTACAGCAAGTTACACATTTACCATGGGTTGAAGGTACAGCAAGTTACACATGTACCATGGGTTACAGGTACAGCAAGATACACATGCACTAGGGTTACAGGTACAGCAAGTTACACATGTACTAGGGTTACAGGTACAGCAAGTTACACATGTACCATGGGTTACAGGTACAGCAAGTTACACAATTTGTATTGACCATTGGACAGGTACTTTTCATTATATATTACATAGTAATCTAAGGTTAAATGCTATATTATTGTTTAGTTGAAAAATGAAGAAAACTAAATAGTGTCATATAAAGGGAAAAAACATAAGAGTCCATTTCACTTCAGACTGAGACATTCACATATTCCTTACTGTTACAGCTTTGTGAAACCCCAAATCTTTCCCGTTTTGATATTTTAGCTCAAAGGTCTTTGACCATGTTTCAAGAGGAATTATTTTTGGAATCGTTTTGATATGTTCTACTTGAGATTAAATACATAAACGTTTAAACACCTATCCAGCCAGCCGTTTACCTCACTTAGTAGTCAAGTTGTGTAGACTTTATATACAACAGGCCACTCACTGGACCCCAATTACAGGAAACCATTGTAGGGATAAGTCCTTCTGGTGACTTACAAGTATAAACATTTTCTTAACTTGACGAAATTAAACCCAAACAAAGTGAATGTCAGCTACAGTTGTAGGGATAAACTGATCTTTAAGTATATACCCTCTTGTCTAAAAATAAACAAATGAGTAACCTAGGAGGTACTGAGTGCCCCCGGAACCTACTGGTAGTATTACTGAGCTATGCAGGTGTCCAGTTAGACTGGCCACCGTCTCTAGAATATTAAATAATTAAGAAAAAACTAACTCTAATAATTTTGATCACTTGGATGTCTGATCCTAAGTTCTAAACTAGGGGGAGATAAGCTAGTAGTAAAATGCAGTCGAGAAATTCTTCATAAAAACTTGGGGGCTGGTGGCCAGTCTAATGTCCAGTGTGAACACTAGATATATGTACAAGGTGTCACCAGTGTTGTGAGAGTTGTAAAGATGTTTAGTCAGAGTTGTTGAAAAACACAAGGGAAACTATTTTGAACTGAAGTGTAACAGGTCTCAAACAAATTAAATGGACATGATATTCCAGCAAACTATAATGACATGTGTAACCTGTATTGTAGCCTGAAATTCCCCGATATTTCCACCAGTCCTATTTTCCCCCCAGATCACCACTGTTGGTCGGGATTGAGATTTTAATATACTTACTGTTACCCACTGGAGGCATATCCTTCTATAACCACACCTGTTAATAAAACGCTGAACTTATATAAAACCAAACCAAAACTTTCCCCAGACATTCAAGCTTTCATGATATGTTCCATTCCTAATGGAAGGACTAAAGAATCCCGGGCTTCACTACTAAGTCTTATTGACTATTCTGTCATTGTCAATAATGTTCAGTAGAGATCTTGGCAGGTTGTATTCTTACCTCGCATTCCTTGAGCGCCCATTCGCCACACACAGTGAACCGGACGGGTGTTCGATTGTACCGTATCCGGGGGGCACCACGAGATCGGCCTGTTTTGGCGGGAAGAGAAAGTGAAGGTGCCATCATTCTGGACCTTGCACCAGCCCGACTTGGCGAAGTTCCGAAGCTATGAAGGTTACGAGAGGGTGACACATGAACCTGTCTTTGGTTGGCTTCAATCTGATGACCTGACGACCCCTCATGTTGATGAGAACGAGTCGTCTGCTGAGCATCCCCACCTCCTGGATTTGGCGGGAGATCGGATGAGTCTATTACCCAACTATTTACTTGAGGTTCCGGTGGTTGGCGGATCGGAGAGTCCTGGACAGCCTCCCTGGGGGATTGTGTCTTGTCATTTGACAGGCGTTTGATTAGACTTGGCATATTACATTTTGTTTTTATCCATTCCTATATTCGACAGAAATCTCAATCCATTCATTCATGTTCTGTCTTAGACCTTTGCTGTACATTAACCCATCTTAGAAGATTCCTGTGAAAACACGACATTCAAGCAATAAGTTTGAAACAACCCTATGACAATGGCATCTACAAATCAAACGTTTCTAAACAAACACGTCGATAGGTTATTTAAAACACGTGAGCTTATGAATTCTTCGCTGAAGGGTGTATACAAACGGAAGTATTGACAGCGGCTACCATATCCAACGCTCCCGACCAATAGCGTGTTTGTTGATAAATATCACAAACTTTCTCTACAATTCGCAATGTCTTGAGGTCATGCTAAAACCTTACTAAGACCTGAAGTTTATAAACTTGTAAAACGTATACAATGGTCGTTGTGGTGGTGACGCGGAGCCTCGAGCTCCAATACTATTCCACTGTGGACATTCCGCGAGGTATCCTTACCTCTGTAGTATTACGGACGTGTGATGCATGCCGACTTCACATGCAATAATGTGGCTAACACATATAAATTAGCTACACTATAATAAAACGTCATAAATTATTTACCAAGGCATTGATTTCTTAAACCTCCAACACAGCAACATCGTTCAGCGTGTCTCTCAGTAAAAGTGTCTATTAACAGTTTGAATCTCTCCGCTAACAAATCACTGCGTTTAAGTTTGTGTTATTAGTTTTGTATTAATTAATTCAATTTTGATTTACTTTTACATGAAAAAGGGGGAAAACTTGCTTTTAAAGCTAGATATATGTTGACCATGCTTTGAATATATTGCTTCTGCATGTTTATGGAATATAACACCGATTTTGAAAGAGTATACGTATACCTATCTGACATACCCTACAATACATGCAGAAAGTGCTACAATGCGGCCATTGAAGTCGGCGCCACGATAATTCAACCACGTTGGGCATTTTAAAGCAGTTTGAATGAAGAAATTAACAATAAACGTTGTTTTTATGATGTACAGAAATTCGGCAGTAAATATACCACACACGAGATAGCATTCAAAGATCTATTCATTAAAATTCTAAGATAAAGGCACCTCTTGGATCCAATTTACCGGCGACATTTGAACGATAACATGCTCATAAAAAAAAACACAAAATACACGTCTGTCGCAGGGAAATTAAGTTTGCTATAGGTTATTGTCTTGTACAGCTTTCAACTCTCCAATATAATCAATCGTGAAATCTAGCCACTCTGTGTTATCCATACGTGACAAGGCTATTGACGGCCAGTTGTTGTCCCATCGTCGTTCTTATATTGGTAAACAAATCTATTTCCCTTCCGATATAAAACGTCACTACATTTACACGTTATTTACCTGAAGATATCATACGGTCATTTTATTGGTCACTACTATTTGGACAGCCATAAATCAAGCTGGGATCGATAAGATTTTGCACGAATTCATTCTTTTTTCGCTGGAACTGTGTATTGATAATCCATGAGTATTAATTACCAGGCGGCTTATCGACCGAACTACCCGGGGTAGCCCCTCGGAAACACTTCACGGGCTCCCAATCGGCTCTCCTTCCACGATCAATGGTAATGTATCGGCCTGTTGGTGGTACTGGCGTTGCATACCTTTCCTGCAGTAAAATAAAGTAGCATTCAACCTCAATTATTTACCGGTCGTTCGTTTCATTTTAAGTGTTGTTTTCAATAACGGAGCTTTTACGTGATCGGATATGGGTACCATGGAATTCCCTAGCCCGCCCTGAATATCCCCCGTTTCCACACGACCCACGGCTTCTATATAGGCCTTATCGTCCAACGTATTACTACACACGTATTTTACATACTCCAGATTAAATTTTGGATGAGGAACAATAGTAAATTCACTATATGTTACATAACGTGGACTATCTGCGCGATAACAGCGTTGGATTAAGTACAGTAATTGGCCCTCCCGACCCACACCTTGGTTGTTTGCCCTGGAGTACCGTCCGACGAGTGACGTACCCGGGGAAACTAGCGGCGGGCCGTATACATTATACCATTAAACAGGTATGACATACATGCATGCGTTACCTTTCGGCTGGCGATTAACTGAAATTATCATCAGTATACCGGTTTCCCTGTCGTATACCTGTCCAATGTTCCTGGTCCGACCCGACAAAGTCACATACACATATATCCCTCATTAACATCACATGTTGGTAAACATCAAGTGAAATCAGGTCAAAATCCAATGCATAAATCCCATGAAAATCTGTTTAATACCCGTTGGGCACTGAGCTCGGGGGTGGTGGGTCGTAAGGTAAATATGTTCCAGATAGTGTGAGGAAATCTGAGACCATTGTCACTCACCACAACTAGGGTTTGTGTGTTATTTCTCTCCCGATGTAGGTATCCAACGTGTTCCCACCTGTGCAGGCATCACCTGTTTAAAGGTAAAATGACAATGTTCTATCTTTACATCTGGACATAACCTATTTATTTTTTTGAAAAATCTCCTACAAACCTAGGACTAACACAGCTAACGAATACATCAACATTAGTCGATTGTCATTGTTATACATCCGCAGTTCCCACGACAGCTTGAAAATATGAAATTGCACACAATAAAAATAATTCGATAATAAAAGCGCCATGAATCTTATAAAAGGAAGTTTCGCATGACTGTGCATACAGGGATATATCCACACGTAAGAGTAGCATTAGTCAAAACGAGCCGGGGATGCTCTGGTGCGCTGGGTATATACACATCGTGTAATGGTACGTCCCTAATAGGATAGGGTACCTTCAGATCGATTCTCAACACATTAATATATATATTTAACACATCTCGGTATAGTTACCTCAGCCTGGATGCGTTCACATAGGGTAGGTAATGTCTATAATGTAATGCCTTGGACCAGCCTCGAGAACTTCCGCAATAAAGACCCACGCTTGGTGTTTGGCGTTATCACATTGTGTTCTACTATAACGGACAACAACACTTCATGGTGACCAGACACTCCGTAATATTCCCGGAGTATTCACCTCCCGGACCGCGTGACAGTACACATACTCGCTGAGAAACATCTAATCACTAACCCGCCATAGGTTTGGAACTCAGAAGCAGTCACCGGCGTTGAAAGACTGCAAAACACGTTCATGGCCGGGCAGGTATTCTGGCACTGACCACATGCTCAGCTGCCGTGCTCGGCGACCAACACCAAGTCAAGAATCCTACCTGGGAGGAAAGCTGATATGGTCGAACATCTTCAGTACGTACACAGCTGGTACCTGAATATCGATTGAAAAACTAACGGCCGTTCGAACAATACTTCAATAAAGATTTCATTTTGAAAGGCGTGCTTAATAAACGGCCTGTTCGATAAAAAAAAATGTTTGACTTAAAAGAACTGAGGAGCATCTTCCATAATGGTCTGGACCGGAACACGTGACCTGCTGATTGAGAAGGTTTCACTGACAGCATCCGGACCGTCCACTCATTGTTACGTACCTGTGCTCGGTCTGGTTGGTGTTTCGGTGATGTACCCGCGTGTATTTACAATAAACGACCTGGGTATCGATTTGTGCGGTTTCAATTGGCACACCACAGGAAAATCGACCCAGTTTCATAATGATAGGAGCATCACATTTATGCAATAAAACCCCGATACTTGCCCAGGAGGTTTTCCTTTGATGTGTGGTTTCATGAATATTCTGCAACATAGATGCTAAACGCTTTTTATTTTGTTGTTGGTTAAATCCCAGACCGATGTTCGAAAAACATTTTTTTAAAAGAAATACACATTAAAAACCACAGTCAATGATAGGTTTATCAGTTAGTCATACATTTATCTGTAATGTGTTTATCAGCCATTGGTTTATCCGTGGTTAACTCGTAAAGGTGTAAGTTATTCAGTACAATGTTAGATCGATAGAATATATGATACGGACGGACGAACAGTCAGACATGGACGAATAAAGAGGAATATGGAACTGAAGGACGGTAATCACGGACATACACAACAGCTAGATAGTTCGGACGAATAAACAAATGACTAACACGAATGACAAAAAAGTCCAATGATCCAACAACCAGAGAACGAGACACGAGAAAGCCAAGGAACCAACGCAAGGTATCCCATCACGGCAGACGTGTTCTGGCAAAGTTACAGCTAAACTCACTTGTTAGTATTCTAAACTGTAGTCCCGTTATATTGATTGCTGGTGTGATGCTATAAGTAATGATCAAACAATCCTTCCTAACTCTACAAATTCAACGTGTAGGATGGCAACCGGTGGTATGTTCAGTTCCTTCAAACAGATGCTTCTATTGCTGCTCTGCCGTTGTTGTCATCAGATAGATCCGTCCTTCACAAAACATTTCTTGGATCTCTCTCAGAATGGCAGGTTCATAGGATTGGCTAGTCCCCTACACTTTAACGGATGGCTTTCAGCTACTTCTTTAAAATTTAGCAACACCACCCCTGTGTTTAAAAAACGACATACTCGTTTGCCATAATAAAAATTGTCATCCTGCTGGCCTATACCGAAAAGAATGTTTTGCCCTCCTAATTCAAAAGAGAGATTATCCTTGACTGACATAGGTTCTGTTACTTATGCTCCTCTTTTGGAACAAAGAACTCGTCTGAACCCTGCCAACACTATTGAACATCTTCCTTCTTCCATGTCATTTTTTTTCTGGCACCATACTCCTACAGTAAACCTGTACAGCTTTGTAAGGAAAGTTATCCTCCTTTTCCTCCCCTTATCCAATTTTCTCTTCATAATTCTCTCTGGTTTCCCCAGCTACAATTCACTTTTTTTCAGGCGTTACCTCTCAGTTGACTTAGTCTCTCTTTGTCTTCTTATGCAATCCGCCTTTTTCGCTTAGCTCGCTGGTGTTTTTAGCGCCCGTCAAACGTGCAAATAGAGGCAGAGAGGTTTTCGGTACCGTGGAGTGTCTCCTGACCGTGATCCTCTGTCTCACCTGTATCCTCTGTCTCACCTGTATCCACTGTCTCACCTGTATCCACTGTCTCACCTGTATCATCTGTCTCACCTGTATACTCTGTCTCACCTGTATCCTCTGTCTCACCTGTATCCTCTGTCTCACCTGTATCCACTGTCTCACCTGTATCCTCTGTCTCACCTGTATCCTCTGTCTCACCTGTATCCACTGTCTCACCTGTATCCACTGTCTCACCTGTATCCACTGTCTCACCTGTATCCTCTCACCTGTATCCTCTGTCTCACCTGTATCCTCTGTCTCACCTGTATCCTCTGTCTCACCTGTATCCACTGTCTCACCTGTATCCACTGTCTCACCTGTATCCACTGTCTCACCTGTATCCTCTCACCTGTAAACTCTGTCTCACCTGTATCCTCTGTCTCACCTGTATCCACTGTCTCACCTGTATCATCTGTCTCACCTGTATCCACTGTCTCACCTGTATCCACTGTCTCACCTGTATCCACTGTCTCACCTGTATCCTCTCACCTGTAAACTCTGTCTCACCTGTATCCTCTGTCTCACCTGTATCCTCTGTCTCACATGTATCCTCTGTCTCACCTGTATCCACTGTCTTACCTGTATCCTCTGTCTCACCTGTATCCACTGTCAGTTCCTTATGTTTCTCCATTATCATGCACTTCCTTTTTTACTGACAGATTCTCAGTCCCTTTGTTTTTATGGAAACCTTTCCGCAGTGATATTTGACTAATCCTTCCGCTTTCCCTGTTGATATTGGATGGGCGAGCATAGCCATTCATATGAAATCTGTACTGTTGGGTCTTTCATCCTCCTACCCTCTCGTAATAATCTTAAGGTGTTCTCGTTGTACATTGTGCAGCATTTTGATTGACTCATAAGTGTTTTCTCATAGACATCGACTTTTGGCTGCTGACGTTAAATGGCCAGTCCTGTCTTAACTGGATGCCGACTGAAGTTTGTCATCTAATCACATTGTTATCAGCTATGTCCATTCTTCAAAGAGGCTTTTAACTCCTGCTGGTCTCTGAAATCTCCTCGGCACGGCGGCTCAGGATGTTTGATTACTTCCCAATTCTCAACGGTAGCCTTCCATCTCCTCTTACAACGCCGCATCAATAACCATCGGGGTTATTCCCTCAGTTCCCTTACGACTACCTTCCCGGTCCTTCCCAAGACCCTTTAAGACCCTGAACATTCCCCAGCAGTATTGTAACGGACATTCTTTCCACAAGAAAACACTATGACTGCCGCCCTTTTCTACCACTTTCTGCAGCCAGTTCGTTATATTTCTCCTTCTTCCTTTCGCCCGGTGACTCTCAACCTTGTCTCTCAGTTCACAGTAAGTCCCACAGTCACAGATGTGTTCTTCGACTGGGTGACCGCTATATCAGGCCGTTAAGTCATCGCCACAATCACAGTAAAAACGCTCGCCTCCTAGTCGCTGGTACATCTAAGAATACCTAGATTGCCATTATTTGCCGTTGCCTTTAATGTATGCCCCTCAGTCCTTCGGAAACGAAATATAGTTGGTGATCTTGTAACATCTACCCTATATCAGTTTTTTTGTCAAATGCTTTGCTTTTGTCACAAGTACCTGTGAATAGTCAAAGAATTCTAATTGGTCTTGTTATAATTCTTTTCATGACCTAAAACATAAAAACTGGTCACATATTATCATATATTACATTGTTCGAGATATTACGTTGTTCTTATCACAGCTACGCTAGAACAGTGGTGACATAAACAGTTTTTGGTCATGATGAAAAACAGTCCAGTGAATACCTGCTGTAGTGTATGCCACTTAATTGAATTTTTGTTCAATTTGTGAAAAAGATATTTCAAACATATTTCGTTCTCCGGGTTTCCCAAACAATGGCAAACCTCATTTTTTGCAATTTGAAAAATGGTGCACGAAGCAATAATTCTTTGAACACCGTACGAGGACCATGACGTTTTACTGGTATTTTTATTCCCCGCTTTCCCCGAAACGGGGTATATTAATATGGGTCTGTCTGTCTGTCTGTCTGTCCGCCTGTCCGTCTGTCTGCCGCGCTTCGTTTCCGTGCAATAACTACAACAAATGTTTACCGATTTTTTTCAAACTTGGTTCGATTTTGATATATAGGCATATTAGGGGATTGCGAATTCAACCGCATATGTTTCGTTGCCATAGCAACAACACAAAGGCTTCTGATTGGTGGAAATTAAGATATTGTTCGATTTTGATGAAAATTGGTATATAGAGGTATTAGGGGACTGCAAATTCAATCGAATACGTTCCGTTGCCATAGCAACTACACAGAGGATTCTGATTGGTTGCAATTTAGAAATTGCTCAATTTCACTCAAATTTAGTATGTACATTGTAGGTGAACTATGGCAATGCGATCCTTTTCTGATCTATCTTTGCGACTATGGGGGCAGTTTGGGGATATCTGTAATGGTCTCCCATTACAATTATTACTTGTTGTTGTAGATATTGTTAAGATGTTTCAACCAAATTCCTTATGCACATCCAATTCATAATAAGTTTGCCAATCGATGTGATTTGTGCATATTTACGGATAATCAATGAGGTATAGGTGTTTTTTCTTCAAGTTTCAAGCTATACATTATGTCTCAACAGCACGACACTCGCGTGTTTAAACCTAACCTCAATAATGTTAACCTACAAAAGGTCCTGCAAGCGGGGGATATAAATTCCATGAATTTACTTGTTTAATTTATGTCGGGGGGAATATAGTCAATATAAAAGTTTCTTGACTATATTCGAGTGAAATATTGTAAAAACTTATCTATCAACAAAATACTATTTTGTACCAAAAAGCACTTCGTTCAAAATCCAACAGCAACTGCGGCCAGTTCGTTATATTCTCCTTCTTCCTTTCGCCCGCTGACTCTCAACCTTGTCTCCCAGTTCACAGTAAGGCCCACGGTCACTTTGGAATGTTTGGAATGTAGCTTTCTGGGGTAAATTAATAAGAATTTATTAAACTAAATTACCTTGAACTACATTCAAGGTCTAGAGTTAAATGTGTAAAATCGTCAAACGCCTTTAAAAAACCCCACA